AAAAAATTTATATTTTCTTCTTCCTTTTTTAGTTATTTTTTTATAAAGATTTGGCCAATAAGCATAGCTTGAAAGCTGTCATTTTCTACTAAAATAATGATATCCAACTGTTTATAAATAAATTACGTATTGGACTATTTATTATTTGTTCTTGAAACCATGAATCACAATCGTTATAGTATTTGAATTATATCCGATCCGTACACTCTCACAAGTTCACAGTTGTAGCTGTGTATACATGTTTCAATAATCATGCGTCTAGGTATAGGTCCGTGCGTATGCATAGGTCTATATAAATCTACATTGTTCCTCTATATAAGTAACGTGTTTCATCTTTAAATCAAATCAAAAGATTGTTCCCTATGTTGTTGTTTTATCAATAACGTGAAAATACCATTCAAAAATTGTAGTTATCTTTTTTTTTATGCACTTGGATTATTTATTTTTTCCACTTCAATGATTGATATTTGGAACTTTAATTTTATTTTATGGTGTTTTCAATAATCTAACTAATACGATATTTTTTTGCTAAATACGATATTTTGGACGATTAAGTGCATGATGATGATATAACAAAAACCGAACATCGTTTTTCATACAAATTGTGCATAGCTAACAAATACGGTCTCATACTCTCATGTATCAAAGATTAGTTTGTTTTCTTTACGCAGCATGAAAGCTCAATTTTGGTATGATTTTAAAATATGCATGAAAAAACAAAAAAAAACAAAAGTTTGGTGGAATCAGAATGACATTCCACAAAAACAAACAAAATTCTCAACACAACAAAACTCTATTTCTCAATTAACCAAATTAAAATGTACTATAACAAAACAAATCAAGTAGGTACATGATAATGTGAGATTAAAAATGAGCAAATAAAATAAATAAATGAAGTGGACTGGAGAGAAGTAAATGAAGAGGAAGAGTCATCGCTGTCATGGTCGCAGTTAAAGAGGCGGTCAGAGTCTGAAGACTTCCCTTAAGCAACCTTCCAAATTTATTGATTCTTCTGTTTCCCAAGATCCACCCAC